CAAAGAGCTGGAAGGTGAGAGCTTCCCTCTACCGTGGAGCTTGGATTGACCACCATCTGAAATAGTGAGACGGAGAGATCAGGAGTGGTAAAGACAAAATCGAGACCTATATCGCGAGTAATGTTATATTTCTTATATATTTGGAAGGAAAATGACAAATGGCTGCACCGATTTAGTGAAACATGCAAACACACATGGAAGTACAGTACATAAGGAGAAAACAAAGTTTGTCTTCTAAGGAACTTGAAAGTCAGTAATTTGTCAAATCAATTTTATTCCTCAAAGCAGCCTCAATTGTCTTGGCAAGGTTTTCTTGTAAATTCAGTTAAATTAAGCCAATCAGACGCTTTCCAGATGGTATTAGATAGTGGACCACCTTTGTACCTTTTTCCGGATCTCCTCCATACATATTGTTGACAATTTGAACTAGACATTTTAAATTTGGATTCATCACTCTAAGAGACCTGTTGCCACTGATCTTCAGTCCAGTTCTTGTAGAATTTGGCATACCTCAGCCTTTTCTCTCTGTTCACCTTCCTTAAGAATGGCATCTTGACAGGCACCCTTCCACTGAGATCATTTCTGATGAGACTTCAGTGAACAGTAGATGGATCGACTGAAGGGTCCGATCCATCTACTCTAGATGTGCCAATTTTTAACTTTACTGGATGGGACAACTGTCTTATTTAATCAGCATTTCTAGAACACAATGCTAAATGGCATGATCAGGAAGTGACACTATGGTTTAGGGAAGGCCTCAGAGGGGACTGGTGGCAGCTTGTGCTTTACTGAGCTGCAGGTCCTGGAAGGGTAAAGGCACTTTCACGTGCCATCGTTTTCCTTCATCACCACAAAGGAAAACGTTTTGTATTGTCTGAGTTTGGTGAATTTTTTGTCACAGGTTTGCGTTCTTATACAGGGACCTTCAGAGTCATTCTAATGGCTCTGCGGACCTCAGGGGGAAAGCAGTGTTGTGGAAATTACACAGTCTTCACTAGTCGGGATAGTTACAAAGCTGTCTTCATTATGAATGAGCAATACATGTCTTTATTGAACATTTGAAGGTAATACAACACAAACTCTGGTAGAGGATATAAAGTCAGACATACACGTTTTGAAACGACAAGGAGCAGGTGCATCTAGTATACATAGAGCTGCCCCAAAAAAACAAAAGAGTGCATCGGCCAGCACAACAAATTTTGGATCCTTCGCTCTGATTTAGCGATGAGCGCAGCGCATGCCGTTGTGAAAGGGCCTTTATGCTCCGCAGTGTGACTCACAGGTCCCAGGTCAGCCCTGACTTTGTGTTAGGTAATACTAAAGTAATAATGGGATTTCTGGTATATCACAGCTTTATCCTTGCAACAGTTACCGGAAGTTAAGGGACCTACCTTATAATGAATATTCATATGGAAATCCTCCAGCTTCAAGCTATATTACCCTTCCAGGACCTGCAGCTCAGCAAAGCACCCCTTCGACAGTCCAACCCATCTGTTCTCTGATTGGATTGTTAAATTTGTGATTTACCTGACATTGACCAATCAGCTGAAAGGAAGAAAAATTTGGTCAAAATTTTTAAGTTGAAAGTCACACACAGCCAGGGAACTTGAAAGTTTAATATATAGTTTTTTGCTTTGTATCTGTAACCAGACCTTAAAAAACAAATTTGTAATGTGTAAATATTTTTTTACAATTACAAATCTTTTTTACATTGACACAAATTCTCTTCCATAGATGCACAAACATAAAATTTTCAGATATTTGGTTTAGAGGTTACAAAACTCAGTTCACAACAAACAAAATATTTGTACTTGTAAAATATTTATAATAAATATTTTAAAATATTTATAACCACAATTTGAGCCCATAAACTAGAGCCCTAAACTAGTGGTAAAAAACTAAATTGCCGCAAAATGACGTCACTTCCGGTTTCAAGCAGGTCATGGCGGACATGCAATAGTTCACGCTGATGGACGTAGGAAGTGTTACAAACAGCTGATCGGATCGGCAAAGCATGTTTCTGGAATATTGTGTTTTTGTTGCTGCAACTGCTTTTTATGCAGTTTTTGCAAAGCTATATGTGGAAGGAAACTGTGACCTAGGACAAGCTGATGGCATAAGATGTA